AGGCATGCCCCACCTTGACAGACACCCAGTTTAGCAGCACATCATGAGTATTTTCTGATGTCCCTGTTGTGCCATGTTTTGTGGAGAGAAAAGGGCTCAGAGTTCACCTCTCCTCCACTCTTCTGCCTAGACGCCATCATATAAGGGGCTTCGATTGTTGCTATTTCTATTCAATCTCCAAATTCTCTTGTTCTGTAGTTCTGTGTCTCCTACAAGCATGCCAGTGTGGAATATGACAACTATTTTGAATGTAACTACAGGTATCACTGAACAAGTCCATTATTTACAACCTGTCTTTCCTAGCATAGAATATTCAGATGATGGAGTCATTGGGAACAGAGGTGGGCAAGCAGCAACTCCGGGTTGTGAACCACTTACAGCCCTGCTATTCTTCTTGTCACCGACAGATTCTGAAACAAGGAGTAATTTGCTTTGGAAACTAAGCAGCTCCATGCCAGTCAGGAATGACTCTGGTTTTACGTTTGGCTGAGAGGTCAGAACGGTAACACCCTAAGTATTCTTCTCTGCAAGACTAAGTACGGCCGCTCTCCATTTCAGTCCCTGGAGGTTGTCCAGAGCTCCCAGAGTATCCCTGCTCTGAGGCAGAATCACCAAGGCTCATCCTTGCCAGCTCCCCACAGGCTCCAGGAGGCCTTTTCTGCCAGGTGCAGGGCACAGGAATAGCTGTGTCTGTCCCTTAAGTAGAGGGAGGCCAAAATGATGTTTGTATAAGAGGGACTGGGATTCTGGGTCTCTTTTAAAATACTTGACAAAATTTTCTTTGCGTTTTGGTTTATTTCACCATCTCACCAATGAGAAGAGCAACCTCTTGGTAATTATATTGTTTTTTAGCACTAGGGAAGGTTTTTGTGGTTAAGTTACTTTAAGAAATTGTATTTTCTTGTTCTGATATAACTCAAAACAGTGAAAGAAACAGTAATTATTTTGAAAGTGGTCATGCATCCTATGTTAAAGGTGTTAGGTTTCATTGCCCTTATCTAACTTTCAGTCTAGTGGAAAGAAAAGGCACAGTTAGGGGGGCATATGAGCATGTCATGAGAGAGGTCGATGCCAATTGAGAGGCCTGTGCCACTCCCCAGTACTGTGGGATTAAAGGGGAGAGAGGGATGAGCTCTCTTTCAGACTATGCTCAAAGAGGAAGGAGTGGGAGTTCATCCATGGGAACCTGAGAAAGGGCAAATCCCAGGGGCATCTAACTCAGGGTGCAGGAGCAATCCTTAGAAAGAAAAATGGTCCAGTTCAGCTGTCAGAGGAGACAGGAGAAAGAAAAGTCATGTGATCCACAGTCCCCTGACTGATCTGCTTCCTTCTGATATTATTTTGCACCAGCATGTCCTCATCTCCCGCAGCCCCTCTGCCTCTTCCAGAATCATCTCTTCCCTCTTTGCTGCCCAGATCAGTGGATGCGCATTGTACAAGTTGATCGTTTCCTGTGCAGTCCCTTTGCTGGTCTGAATTATGTCCATCTTTGTTTTCTGCATTAGGTACTGCTCCCTCCACCGTTGCTTGCTGCCTTGTAAGAGGTATCATGTTTTATATTTCAATTTTACTTTTTATTAATACACATTTGACTTCATCTTTTGCTGATCTATTCTTTTGGAGCAACATTGTCATTTTTGGAGGACTTTTATATCTTTAGTGATTCAGATCTCTTTATGCTTCAATGTCTGTGCTTTCTTTCCATTTAAAACCAAATGTTATTATCTTTCATTCCTCTCATTCTGTTCATCTTTCTTTAGAGGGTAGTTTTAAGGGAGAAAAAGTCAGCCTACAACTGTAGCTATGTGATAAAATGTATTCAGAATGAGGGTGTGATATTAAGCTTGGTAACTCAAAGCAATTGTCAGGGTTAGAACTAGTGTTGAGAAAAGAGTTCAGAGAAGCTGATCATAAAACCTGGGGGATGGCACTTCTGGAATATTCTCCCAGATCACTCTGCAGACACTTCCCAGCATTCCTTGGGCTATTGCAGAAGAAACAATCATGAAACTTCACCCATTGGCCACAAGGTGACACTGTGGTCCACTGGGATCTAAAGGGCTCTGGGGAGTCTGGGAGAGCAGCTTAGCAGGGAAAGGGTTAAGAAAAATTAGGGCTTGGTTCCAATATTATGCAGCTGTTACACCCGTTTTCAGTGATTGCTAGGCTACCTACAGCTATGCAAGAGGCGGGAAGTCCCTCTAATCTTCAAAGAGATCTACAGTTGAAGAATTTTGGCCAGGGCAGGCTTGGTGTCAGGGGCAGGTGCAGAGGAGCAACTAACTGCCTCAGAGGAAGAGGGGAAAGCCAGGGGTGGGCTGTGCCCTGAGTCCAGTGCATTTCTGCTGCATCTTATCTTCCCTGTGGTCTCTCCAGGCAACAGCTTTAACCTGCTTGAGTGATCTGGGATTCTACAAGTTTGTAAGTCATACTGCTAACATTACTTCGGCTTAGATTCCACTGGGACACCAAACTCATGTTCTCTGGAGGACAGAAAATATTGATAACAAGTTCTAAAACACCCAAGTAAGCAAACTACTGAAGGAAAATGTTAGTAGAGTCACCAAACTATGCTGTTAGACCTGAAGATAATCAACTAGCAGAATTATCAAAAAGAGACCATCAGTGAGTCTCCACTAAGTATTTGTGGGCATGGAGTGGTGTCTGAGTCCTCTCAGGATAGATTAAGAAGGAATTCAGCTATTACCGTGACTTTGGCTTGGATTAAAATTCTTGAGCACCTCAAATTATTTTCTTGTAAAATATTATGGAATAATATTGAGCAAACAATTTTATTTTTCTTCCTTTAAATTTTTATCCCTCTTTAGCACTTACACACAAAGCAGACACCTAGAGGCAAAGTTTCTTTAGCTGGGATCCTTTAACTGCAGGACTGGGAGGTCCATAGCTGGGCTTCACAGGGAGTGCAAACCCCATGTGTCTGTGCTTCTAATTCCCCTCTATGAGGCTGCCAAAGGGGGAGTGCCAGGTCACCCAGGACCCCACTCACAAAGAGGGGAGCAGGCTGCTTGCTTGGCAAAAAAGAAATCAATTCACCAACTGGCCAATCTGTTGAAAGGCTCAATTGTGAGACTCATGAACGCCCAATTTCCCAAGTTATGAAACTGATAACAGCTCACAGTTCTCAGAATGATTTCAAGAGCAAATAAAGATATTTTTAGAAAGCTTTGTTTGTCTACAGCCTTCCTTGATATTGATCCTCAGTTGTGTTTCAGCCCACTTGGCAGCTGAGCTTATTTTGATGCCAAATTTCAATGTTGCCCATTTCAGTCACTGAGCACTTCTCACATTCTCTGTATCTTACACACATCTGAGCGCTCCTATCTTTTTAAAATTTTGTGTGATTCATTTTTAAATTGGGCTCTACAGAACACAGGCATATATTTGTAAATGAGTCCCATTTTTTACGCAATTCAGCTGTTTACTTGTTAGTAATACTTTAAAGTGTAATCAATAGAGAGTAAAACACAAATATTAATACAAGGACATCCTAGTATGTTTTGACAAATGCATACACCAGTGCAACAGTAACTGAAATGATTATAAAACAATTTTCCTTCACTCAAGAAAGCGTCCTCATGCTCTTTTCCAATCAATTTCTATCCCTGAGATAAAAAACTTTTCTTATTTTTATCACCATTGACTAGCTTTGTCTATTCTTTAACTTCATATGGACCTCCCAGTCATGCAGTTAAAGGAATAATATAATATTTTTATTGAGTTATTTTCCTCCAAACTTAGTATTTCTAAAAAGTATTCATATTGTTGTATCAGTAGCTTATTCTTTCTTATGGCTAATATTCCATTGCATAACTGTACCACAGCTCGTTTATCCATTCTCCTGTTGATGGACACCCATGTTACTCCTGCCTTCAACTATTATAAATAAAGTTGTTGTGAACGTTTTTGTGGAATTCTGTCTTGTGGACATATGAATTTTTTTAAGGCACAGACTTAAGAGTGGAAATGCTGACTCACAGTGTAGATGTGTGTGCTATGCTTGTGTGTCCCCACAAAAGCTCATGTTGAAATTTGTCAGTGTAATGGTATTGGGAGGTGGGACAGTTAAGAGGTGACTAGGTCATGAGGGGTCTGTCCTCAGAAAGAGATTGATGCCCTTATTGTGGGAGTGAATTAGTTGTCTTGGAAATGGTCTTCTGACAGAAGGATAAATTCAGTCATTTTTCTCTCTCTTGGGTGTTTGCTTTTCTGTCCTTCTGCCTTGGAGGACAGCAGGAGACCCTCATCAGTTATGGCCTCTTGATCTGGACTTCCCAGTCTCTAGATCTATAAGCCAAATAAATCTCTTGTATTTATAAACTACGCAGTCTGTGGTATTTCTCTACAGCAGTAGGAAAGAAATTGAAATGGAAAATGGTGCCGAGAGTGAGGCTGCTGCTCTAACAAATACCTGAGAATGTTGAAGCAGCTTTGGTGAATGGGAAATGGGTAATGGATAAAGGTTGGAAGAATTTGGAAAAGCAGACCAGTATGAGCTTATATTGCTGAAAACAGAGCATTAAAGGCAATTCTGGTGAGTGCTCAGGGGGAAATGAAGAACAGGCTATCAGAAATTGAAGTAAACACCATCCTTGTTATAAGTAGCAAAATCCTTGGCAAAATTGTGTTCGGTTCTAGGACTCTATGAAATATAAAAATTATGAGTCGTTAGCTAGGATATCTGCTGAAAGAAATATCTAAGTGGCAAAGCATTCAGGCTACTGTGTGACTACTTTTAGCCACCAGGAAATTTAACCCAGCAAGAAGAGAGCCAAGGGAATGGATTTTGTAGTACAGTCCGTGACCTTACCTCCATCTGCTTTTCTGTCTCAAACTCACTCTGGAGTTAGAGAAAAGGGAGCCAGTTAACATAATATACTGGGCTCAGCCTCTGAAGGCAGGGTGGATCTAGAGGGACTAACACATGCTGTCCAGACATGGCCTTGAGGGTGCTCAGTCCCAAGCTGGCTTGGTCTGTGCTGTGAGCTGATAAAGCCCTAGAATTATTTCTGGGGAATCTGTACTGTTGATAATTTACAGACAACCCAGGTCTGCTTTGGATCTGATCAGATGGACTAAGTCTTGGAGACTCTGCACCACCAGCCGCTCAGGAAAGGGGCTGGGAATGTTGCCTGAGAAAGGAAAACATAGTAAGAAACACTGATGTGAATCAAGCATCAGAAAGATGATGTGAGGACAGCAAGGAAGAGCTGGAACCTGAGGGTTTAATCACAGGCTCCTCACCCTCTGCTGATGGGCAGGTGTGAGAACTCCAGCATGGAGCACCACAGCACTAGGTGGGAGGAGGGTGAGAGGGTGACGGGGCAGCCTGGCAGCTGGGACAGTGTAGGCATAAGATGAACTGTTTTATCACAGATGCTTCTGCCCTCACCTAGCCCTCTGGCTCTGCAGGACAAGTAGAGAATACAGGGTCCCAGGAGCACTGGACCTAAGGAAGTGTCCTGCAGGGGGAGGACACAGGACAGTGACATCACAGGATACCCCTCCCATCAGGAAAATCAAGGCCCTGAACTCATTCAGCTCTTCCCCAGGAGGACCAAGCCCTGAATCGGGGCGGTGTTGCCTTCCCTACTGTGCCATGAACTCTGGGCTCTTATGCTGGGTGCTGCTTTGTCTCCTGGGAGCAGGTGAGTCCTATGCACAGGACAGCAGCCCCATTCTCAGCTTTCCCACCCCGTGTCCTCTACTTTACCCTGGGGACGCACCTCCAGGCTGTCTCCTGTGCTCATCCTCCATCTGCTTTTCCCACAGACTCAGTTGAAGCTGGAGTCACCCAAAGACCCACACACCTGATCAAAACGAGAGGACAGCAAGTGACTCTGAGATGCTCTCCTATCTCTGGGCACACCAGTGTGTCCTGGTACCAACAGGCCCTGGGTCAGCGGCCCCAGTTTATCCTTGAGTATGATGAAGAGGAAGAGAGAAACAGAGGAAACTTCCCTAATCGATTCTCAGGTTACCAGTTCCGTGACTATAGCTCTGAGCTGAATGTGAGCACCTTGGAGCCGGGGGACTCGGCCCTGTATCTCTGTGCCAGCAGCTTGGCACAGCCCAATAGAGTCACCGACATTCTGTATATAAACTTCCTGCCTCAGCTTTGACTTGAGAGCTGCTGGCCCCAGCCAGGTTTCCCTCCTTCAAGGGAAGCTTTGAGTTGTTTGGAAGGCACGTCTTGTGTCCTGCTGAGCACAGAGCTCTCCCAACCAACAGAGCCCAGGCTTCCTGTGCCCTGAGTGCTCCTGCTTCTCTGCTGCATCTTCCTGCATCTTGTCACTTCCTGGGTAACTTTAGAAGAAGAGTGACTGCTGAGCCCCAGATGTGTGCCAGATTCTTCGGATTTGTAGTATATCTTCAAGCTTTCCAACAATCTTGTAAATCAAACATTCTTACTCTTCCTTTCCATATGGAAGGCTCAGGGACATTGAGTCATTTCCCTTTACAAGCCAGGGGACATTGTGTCCCCTGGCTTGTAAGGATCAGAAATGGGAAATGAACTAGTCGGTGCTGATCAAGTCCACACATTTTCCACCTACCGCTGCTCCATCATCAGTTTCTGTGTCCTGGTCAGATGACAGTGCCCTCACCCTGTCCTCCAGTGACCAGCAGGGCTGCAGTAGAGGCTCAGACATTTCAGGGGTCATTACTATGGCCTCTTCATTAGCAATTTAAGGAATGTTAAATTCCACACCTATTTTTGTTTTTTTTGAGACCGAGTTTCACTCTTGTCGCCCAGGCTGGATTGCAATGGTGTGATCTTGGCTTACCACAGCCTCTGCCTCCTGAGTTCAAGCGATTCTCCTGCCTCAGCCTCTAGAGTAGCTGGGATTACATGTATGTGCCACCATGCCTGGCTAATTTTGTATTTTTAGTAGAGACGGGGTTTCTCCATGTTGGTCAGGCTTGTCTGGAACTCCCGACCTCAGGTGATCGGCCCACTTCGGCCTCCCAAAGTGCTGGGATTACAGGTGTTCAGCCACACACCTGGCCCACTATTTTTAAAAAATCATTTATATGTATGCCTTGTGTCTTTTCTCAGTCTGTAGCTACATTTTCATTTTTATGGTGTTTTTTTATGCACAAGAGTTTAATTTAATGCAACAAAAATTCAAAACAATTTTGTTTGTGTTTAGACAAAAACTAATTTCTCATAAAAATGTCTAAACATATTTTGCTTAATTTATTCCAGTAAAATTTAAGTTTGGCTTCTCACCATTAAGAATAAATATACCTGAGGCCAGGCACAGTGGCTCACGCCTATAATCCCAGCACTTTGGGAGGCCGAGGCAGGTGGATCACAAGGTCAAGAGATTGAGATCATCCTGGTCAACATGGTGAAACACCGTCTCTACTAAAAATACAAAAATTAGCTGGGCATGGTGGCGCGTGCCTGTAGTCCCAGCTACTCGGGAGGCTGAGGCAGTAGAATTGCTTAAACCCAGGAGGCGGAGGTTGCGGTAAGCCGAGATCATGCCACTGCACTCCAGCCTGAGTAACAAGAGTGAAACTCGGTCTCAAAAAAAAAAAAAGAATAAATATACCTGAAATATATCTCATTTAATGGGAGGGAGGACATGTGTTCAAAGAGGAAGCAATAGCCTGTCAAAGACATCTCTGAACTGACAGTGGAGAGGTAGGTGGAGGGCATACGATCACAAATCTTGTCTGGCTGTTGTCTTGTAGAAGAAAGACAGCCAGGAGCAGAGACCACAAGGGCAAAGGTTTATGACTGGACTGTAGGTTGAAGGTTGCAGCAGGTAGAGGGAGGAACAGCAGGTAGATAGCAGAGTCACTGGCTGGCAGGGGCAGTGGCATCACCAGTTGATTCCACTGACTTATGTCCCCAACACACAAACTGAAAAACCTCCCCACAATCTGCCCGTGTTTCCCTGACCCTGCCATGGCCACCAGGTTCCTCAGTGGTGTGACCTTTTGCCTCCTGGGGGAGGTGAGTTCCCTAAAGCCTTTTCCTTGGCTCACCACATCCTAGCCTGAGCCTTTACATTAGTGGGATCCCTTCATGGCTCTCAACTTCCTTCTATCATAGACTTCACAGATGCTGGGACAACCAGATCCCAAGACACCAGAGAACAAAGGCAGGGCATGAAGTGACATGAAGATGCCTGAGACTGTCATCCATGACTACATATGCAGGTGTTAACAAGAGCCGAAGCTGTTGCACCGCTGATCTGTCCCAGCAGGCACTACAGAGAAATCCCTGAGGGTCTGTGACTTTCTCTCAAGGCCAAATATGTAACCTTGCTGTCAAACAGCTTCTCCCAGACCTCTGTGCCCTCTTGCACCAGCAGTCACCCCACAGCCACCTTCCTCTGCACACAAAGCTCAGTGGAAGATACAGGTGGCCTTGCCTTCACAAGACTGTGATCCAGGCAGTGGAAGACACTGTCCCTTTGGAGTCTCCCCAGCACTGCCTGGGCTGGGACCCTCAGAGCTCTGAGCAGCCCCATGCGTGTGAAACTCTGCTCTGTGCTGAACTTCTCTCCCAGGCCAGTCTCAGCTGGACGAGGGAATGTACAGCACCATGATGTGAGTGGATGCAGCCTCTCTTCTAGACCCCTCCTGCAGCTCTGGCCTCAGAAGTCCTCTTCCTCAGTTGCTCTCAGAAAGGAAAGTTCATTGGAAATGTATATTTGCAGACAGCATTGACAACACAGGTCTGTGTCTTTTCTCTGTCGGCCTTCACAACTCCATCTTCTCCACACCATGCTCACGTCAGTCCTCAGCCTCCTCCATGTGATGTCTGCTACCAGCTGTCCCTTTGCTTCCTCTGCACGCTCATCTCTGTGTCAACCACAGACGCCTCAGTTCAGGCCATTCCTCATGCATCATGTTCCTCCCACCAAAGGCCTTTCCACTCCGGGCTGTATCCTCTGTATCCTTTTGTGTTCTTGCTTCAAATCCCAGTTTAACTACCACCACCTCTAGGGAGACACTCCTTCAACAGTTTTTCTAGGCTGCACCTCCTCATTGTACATGCTCACAGCTTATAATATGCATTAATATTCACAGGTTTGGCACCATTGTCATTTGCTATGACTTCTGTGACTACTTAATGGACACTTCTCATGCTCTCTAGATTGTAAAATGCATTAGTTCAGAAATTGTGGATGTTTTATTCCTCATTTTATTGTCAGCACCAACAGCAGTTTCAGGTGCCAGTGGCCAGTCTGGAAAGAATAGAGAATGGATAGTGAAGGACCCTCTGGGTGCCCACTGAGACTGTTCCAGAAGTCTGGACACATTAAATGGGAGCCTCCATCCCTTCATCTCTTAGGATCAAATGAGTCCTGGAAACACACGAGGAACCCGTGTCACAGATGAGTGACTGGATCCCAAGCCTTCCTGCAGGACTGAACATCCTATCTGCCCATTGCCCTCCTGGCTTGTTTCCTTCTTCAATCTCCTTCTCTTGTAGGTGTCCTGGATTTTGGAGTCTCCCAGACACAGGGCACCTAATCACTGGCAGATTGATCAGAAATATAATGTCAAACACTGGCATTAAAAGGTGGTGGACAAGAAAACAAATGACTTCTCCATTCTCTTTGAGAGAGTTTTCCCAGGGCACAAATACCTCTTTGGGTGGCTTTGAGGCCATGGTGCTTGATACACTGAGCTGAGTGTATCAAGTGTATCGTGGGTGTCCATTTCCACAAAGTGGTGAGCAGTGCCAGAGACACAGAGCTCACAGTCACCAGTGCCCTCCAGCCCACACCTGATTTTGGTGCAGGGCACTGAGCAGAGCCCCTTGCTTGTTCCCCTCCTTAGCCAGACAGGAAAGACTGAATGTGAAGCAGAAGCTCCATTTACAGAGCAGGGCTATGTGTTAGTCCCTGAAGAATTGGGAGAGCCATTCTGGGTGGAAATAATCAAACACGCAATCACCAAGGATGGCCCACACTTATGTCGAATGATTTGCATCCATGCTGTAAAGACTAACACAGTTTAATCTCTCTAGTCAGTAAAGACCAAAAATAGACTAGCTATTTTAAATAACTGAACCTTAGACCAAAGTTAGCACATCTGCCCTTGGGACAGCATTCTCTTCCACTCACTCACTAAACCTGTGTTTGGGAAAGCTGTGTCCTGTTGATAAACGTTGGAATATCATTACAATTGACATTGTAATAATACTGCTACTCGGATTAGAAACAAAGCCTGTCTAAAGCTTGAAAAACGTAAAACTGGAAATGAACTCTTACTGAGTTTGGAAATGCAGGCACTAGAGGGAGCTCATTTCTCTTCCTTTTCAGATGAGGAGGCTATTCAAAGCCTGTTCTAGAACAAGGAGTGAGATCCTCCACTTAACAAGGGGTGAGATCTTCCACTTCCTCGTGGTGATCAGGCGTTCAGAGGTAGAGGCTTTATTAGTTCATAATCAGCATAAACTGACCTCACCATCAAATGTATCGACCTCAATGCTCACCCTCCTCAGCAGTCAGAGACTGGCTGTATTCATCAGGACCTCATGCACTTTTACACAGCAGCACACTTTATCCTCGGTTTACTAAAAAAAAGGGGGGGGTGCTTAATAGGGGGTTCCATAAACAGAAGCTTTCTTTACTTTGCCCATTAGGACACTACAAATTCTGACACCTGATGAAAGGTGTAAACTTAAAGCTTGCACGTGGTTAAGATTTTTTAATAAACAAATTAAATAATATATAAAGAAAATGTCAACACTCTCGAATCCAATCCCACTTTCCATTGGTAGCCAATATTAATGCTCTGGTGTACTTCTTTTCACCCTTTTCTATGTTCATGCAAACCTTTCTACCCAAGTGCACCTATAGAAAATGGGTTCACCTGTACACTTTACCTGCCACATGCATACTCTTTTCTGTTAATATACCTTGGTCTTAATTGTTCCAGACTGGTCAATATAGACCTACGTTGCTCCTATTAGCTGCTTCATATTGCATAATGAGGGCAGACAGGTACGTTCGTGCTCTGTTGTCTGATTCCTAAATTCTGCCAGGTCTTTTCTAAAGTGACTGAATGGCCTCTTTATGCTTCCAGGTTCTCCTCACCCCAGCACCAGCTGATAGTTTCAGCTTTTACATCATTTATAGTGCTAACAGGTATGAGAGCTCCAGCTATTTCTCCTACATGAGAGCCAGGGAGGGATAAAAGGGTAGACATTTATCAATCTACCAGAGATAACACAGTATTTCAGTTAATCCTCATGAAGCATTGAGAGGAATGTTAGCCTTTTTTACAGATGAGAAAGTTGGAGTCCAGGAAAGTTAATAAATGGCTTTGCCTGTGGTCTCAGAGCTAATAAATGGTGGAGCCAGATCAAGAAGGACAGTCTACTTGCTTCTGTGTGGAATTGATAGAGGGATCCCTGCAGTTTGAGAGAGGGGAAGTCTAGAACAATCTGGGGTTGTCTTCAGATCAGACACCAGGGGTAGGAGAGTCTGTGTACCCTGAGGTACAAGTATCATGGTGTTGGCAGTGGGGAGGTACTAGAGGGGTACTTGGTTAGTGGCCTGGAACCAGAAGAGCTGAGAATTGAGAACATTATTCCCACCACAAGATGTAGCAGAGACACTGATGTGGATAAACTAGGCCAGAGAGCTCTATGAGGAGGTGCTGTTAAAATAAGGGAGGAAGAAACTAAGTGGTCACTTCCTATACGTGAAACGCAGAGGAAAACCATGTTGACTAGAATCCTTGCTTTGGAAGTACTTGGAAGGTGGGATAATTTATTTTCAAGGTTAAGTAAACCTCTATATGGCTCTTTTACCTTGTGGAGGCTGGTGGAGAAGGAAAACATGGCAGAGCCAACGGAGTCACAGTTTGAACCCTGAGTTAATAAATAACTCAGGCTTCAAAGAGAGACTCTCATGGGCCAGAAACTGTTAAGTGTTCCTGCATTCTAAAATTGGGAGGATCTTATTTTCTTTGAATCAGCAGAGAAGGAAGCACAGGCAGTGGGGGGAGACAGTTGGGAACATGACAGAGTGGATGCAGGATGTCAAAGACAAAAGACTTGCAATATCAGACTCTAAGCTGTGAGGCTGCGATGCAACCCCCCTCCTTCTCCTAAAGGTTTTTTAGGTCTCAGCACAGATGCACACCTGAGGGAGTAATGTCTTTGGAAATTAAGGACAAATAGCTGTGTTAAATATTTATAATAAGTCCACCATACAAAGCACACCTGGAAATGGAAACAAGATGATTTCTAAGGCCTTTTCTACTTTCACAGTCTCTAACTTGGTGGCAAGGTGAGAGGTGAGGATGGCGGGGAGTTAATCTGCACACAGTGAGTATGGTGAGGCCCTACAGTGAAGCTTATAGTCCTGAGTGTGAATCAGAGCCCTGAGAAGAATAATGCCCTTTACATTCTTTTGCCCTCTGCCATCCCAAACCTGCCCCATCCATGACTTAGAAGCCATGGAAACGAGGGGAGCCAGAAGGAATCAAACCCTGCTGCTTGGTTCAGTAGACAGAGGGGACCTGGTGGAAAGGTTGACTGGGTCTAGGAGAAGATGATGAGCTCAGAAAATAGACAAGGAGAAACCCCAGGGGAAAGCTTGTGAAACCCTGGAGGAATCACAAGTCAATTTCTCCCAGAAGATGGTGACAGTGACTGACTTTTAGGTACGATGAGCGTGTGCTACAGAGCCAGGATGGACTTAGGCAGTTTGCAAAATCCAGGCCATTTGATCATTTCCATGAGTGGCCCTTTTTCAGAGTGAAGTTTTATATCCAAAATTGGCCCGATGTGTGGGTTCGTTCTTATGGGGGTTAGGGTTAGAGTTCCTCTATTACTTGAGTATCCATGAAGTATTATGGGTCATAGAATGAGAAGGATTATCAGGAGCAGAAGGGGTGTGGAAAGAAAGAACTGTTAAGTGAAGCAGTAGGGTTGAGTGAAGCGTATTTCAGATATATGAGTATATACAGGGATGAAACCCCAGGTAGCCCCCAGCCCCTATGGAAGGAAGGTCAAGACTTGACAACTAGAAGAGGCATGATTACACCATGCAGCTTGATCAAGGACTGAGAAAGCTTTCTAGACAAATGACAGGTAAATTCTCACTACTAAAGGATGTGCAGGTGGTTTGGGACCTGTGAAGACCTTTGAACAGGATTAAAACCCAGTAGACAGAGGTCTCTGATTCTTTGTTAACTACAGAGGAAGATGTACTGGGAGGGATACCTAGGGGATCTTTCCATCCCCATGCCCATCACCATTCCAGATCCATACCTAGAGGTGAGTCAGGCAGCACAATTCAGAGAAGCACCAGAAAAGCTGTGAGAATAGGATCCACTCTGAATCCAGCTTTCTCAGCTCTTCATTCCTTACTGTGTAGGTGTCAGTGCAGGAGAAAGCTGACCGGGTGGGAAGAGAAGGGACCCTGAACCCGTGCCAGGGGAGACCCATGAACTGGGAAATGAGCAGCAGCGGCACCACCACAAACACACACTCGCCAGGCACAGGAAAATGACAGCTCCTGGCCTCTCATAGCACCAGACCTGCTCAGTCTCCCATGGGATCCAGGCTTTTCTCCTGGATGCTGGACATGCTTTGGTTTCTCAAAACCAGGCGTGTCCTGGATGCACCTGGGGGATCAGCTCTAAGTACGGCAAGCCTTGACAGAGGAACCATGTATTTTGAAAACCTGCGGGATCTATGTTAAAAACAACAATTTCCCTCTGAGAGCATGAGGGGATTCTATGTTTCTCTGCTCATTTGTGCTTTGTCTCCTGGGGGCAGGTGGCTCTAGAAACCCATAAGGGAAATCCCTATCACTACAACTGCTGTGCCTCAGTTCCAAACATTCCCATGTAGCCTCCTAGGTCCTAGCTCCGGGTTCTATCTCTATCCATGATACTGTGCTCACACAGACCTCTTGAAAGCAGGTGATGAAAATGAGACAGTAACAGTTGTGAATACATTCTACTTTATGGCATCATCTATTGGAAGCAATGTAAGCTGGAAATGCACCAGCATCAATTTCATAATACTGTGATGTAGCGCTTCTGAGATTGAAGGTACATTGGCATTTTCCAAGCTGGTTAACCAAACATCTCACACCATCAGCTGGACACACATCCCCTAGGAGTGTGGGACTCTGTGGGTCTCCTTTTGCCAGCAGCAAAGACCTTCCTCAGCCATCTCCTCTGCTTTGCTTCAAACTCTTCCTGCGCTTTGCAGAATCTTCTCAAATCTGGGTCTCACTTGCCTGCAGTGAGAGCAATTGTGACTATGGTCCCTCACATGAAAGAGGCTGCCCATGAAGTTGTGAGAGTTAAGCTAGGAATGAAAATGAGAAATTAATTTCTCATAATGCAGACTATTAGGAACCCCCCAAGCATTAATTCATCTCCTATTTTTTAATTGTACTACTGCTACCAGACTGTCAAGGGTAAAACAGTTCTGATTTTCTAAAGGCTGTGGAACATGTATTTATTTCAGAGGTGACTTAGAAACACAGAATGTCCCATGATAAGAAGTGGAGACAAAAAAGAAACAGTATTGAGATTAATAAATTCATATGGGGAATTATGTAATTTTTTTTTTTTTTTGAGATGGAGTCTTGCTTTGTCACACAGGCTGGAGTCAGTGGCGTGATGTCAGGTCACTGCAACCCCTGCCTGCTGGATTCAAGCAATTCTCCTGCCTCACCCTCCCAAGTAGCTGGGATTACAGGCATGCACCACCATGCCTGGCTAATTTTTTGTATTTTTAGTAGAGATGAGGTTTCAGCATGCTGGCCAGGCTGGTCTCGAACTTAGCTTCGTGCCTGCCAGAGGCAACATTTCTTCCCTTACCCTTCTGAGCTGCAAATATAAACTGTTTCAGGAAAAAGACATGACAATTCTCTGATTCATTTCCCAAAAACCTCCTACTCCTACCCAGACCATGGACGGGGCAAGAAAATGCAGGAACCGAGCCAGAAACAGGAGATTTCCAAAGGAGGTTGATAGTCAGCACTCAGATCTTCTATGTAAAGTGCTGCTGAAGCAGCCAGATGCCATGTCCAGCTGGCAATGTGAAAGGAATAAGAGAAGTGAGACAACTTCCCAGAGGTGGAGGGTGGCACGCGGGCAGCAGCCCCCTGGAGCACTGAGTGGGACAACAAAACAGACCTAACAGAAGCCGTGTGTGTGGAAACCCACTTCTGACTTACCACTTTTCATGAATTCTATGCTTCACAGTGTTTCACCGTTTCATGTTTCTGATGATGAGTAACTAATTATTTTCTTTCTTGCTGGTACATAATAAAGTGGGGGCACATCAAAGTTGTTGCCATCTTAGACTTAATTCATCAGTATCAGGTGATCCTGAGGCTCAGCGATGTCACTGTGGGAACTGCTCTGTGGGGACAAAGACGTTCCGCCTCCCCTGCTCCTGCTCACAGTAACCCTGAGCTGGTACAGCTCCCATCCTGCCCTGACCCTGCAATGGGCAAAAGGCTCCTCTGCTGGGTGGCCCTGTGTGTCCTGGGGGCAGGTGAGTCCTCAGAGCACCAAGCAATCTCATTGTGTCATGCATGTGTGTGCGTGTGTGTGTGTGTGTGTGTGTACTACAATTGTTTTCCTCCTCCTGTTCCCAACTTTTGTCTCCACAGATCACGCAGGTGCTGGAGTCTCCCAAGACCCCAGACACAAGGTTACAAAGATGGGACAGAATGTAACTTTCAGGTGTGATCCAATTTCTGGACACACTCGCCTTTATTGGTACCGACAGACCCTGGGGCAGAGCCTAGAGTTTCTGACTTACTTCCAGAATGAAGCTCAATCAGACAAATCAGGGCTGCCCAGTGATCGGTTCTTTGCAGAGAGGACTGGGGGATCCTTCTCCACTCTGACGATCAAGCGCACAGTGCAGGGGGACTCAGCCATGTATCTCTGTGCCAGCAGCTCAACCACAGCATGGCACATTCGCCTCCTTCCTGCTCACAAACCCTTAGGCACTTACTTCTCCTTCCAGTTCTCAGAAGCCCTGAACAAAGCAGCTGCCCTGCTCTTCTCCCAGCAAGAAGAATGAGTGCATTTGGGACTTTGGGTGTCTTCTGACACTAGGAGGTCAGGAAATAACCTCTGAAATACAGGATCAGGGAACATTGGGTAGTAATAATTTTGGCTTATGGGTTTCTGGGATTCCTTATATATAGTTCAAATTTCCATAATTAGGATATAACAGAGCTTAGTCTCAGGGATAGTGAATAAGTAAATATTCTCTTATAAAACTACGAAGTTTCAGCACATTTATATTAAGCTACTATTACCAAGTGTCACCAACTCAGACCTACACTCCACCAAGGAGTGGGGAAGCCAAAAGCAAACACTCTAAAGGCCATTTACAGCTACCCTTGAAAGAAAATTGGAATCTTTAGAAAGAATTGCCATAAAAATCAATTATTCACAAATGACTATTACCCAAAATAACGCACATTATCACATGTTCATATATTGCTTTTTTTCCCCTTCTGACAATCTTGTAGTCATTCTGTGTTTAATTTCCTTCTTCACCAGTCTAACTTTAAAAAACGATAGAAATACAAATTGAGATTGGCTTCAAAAGATAAACTCCACCTGGGAAGGTATAAAAGGGACACAAATAAAAGAAGATCTGAATAAAATTATATCAACCACATAGGATTCTTTGAGGTTTCCAAAGAAGATGTACCAATTTACATTCCAATAAGAGGTGTTGCGAGTTCTGGTTGAAATGCTCTCTCTCTCTCTCTCTCTCTCTCTCTCTCTCTGTAGATGAGTTTTTCACTCTACTAATAGTTTCTCTTGATAAACTGAAGTTCTTAAGTCACAATCATTCCATTTTCTCCCCATTTTAGTTAGTATTTTGTATTTTGGTGTCCACTTTAGGAAATCCTTGCCTACTTCAAAATAATCACGTTTTCTTATATTTCCTTCTAAAATCTTTATATTTTCCATTATTCACACTTAGACTTAACAATCTAACTGGAATTAATTCTTTGTAGGTGATATGAGGAAGAAGTCAAGTTTCATTTTTCCAAATGATTATTCAATTAACCCAATACTATTTGTTAAGTGCTAATACTTCTGCCACCACTCTATAATATCTCTTTTGTCATAAATCAGTCATTATACGTGTGTGGGCCTTTTTTCTTGGATCTCTATTCGGTTATGTTGTTCTGTTCTGTGCGTTCTTGCACCGATGATAGATTGTCTTACTACAGCTTCATACTCATTCTTAATACCTGGTAAAATGATTTCTCAAGCTTTGTTCCTTTCTATCAAGTGATCTTGAGCACTCTTGACACTTTTTTCACATACATTTTAGAATCAGCTTGCTAAATTCTTCAAGAAAAAGAAAACTGCTGGGATTTTTTTTTCATTTTGTTTCCAACTGACTTAAGTGCATTACAGAACAAAGTTAAAAATATTAATAGAAATATGAAAATGTCTAGCACCCAAAAATGTAAAATACAAAATATCTGATATCAATCAAAAATTGCATACATGCAAAGAAGCATGAAAATGAGATCCATAATGAAGAGAAGAATTAAGCAATAGAAACCAACCCAGAAATGACAAATCGGCAGAGATAGTAAAACAGTTATTGTAACTCTGGCCTATAAGTTCAAAGTTTTATAGAGATGGGGAAGGCATAATGAGATCCAAACAAAGCTTCCAGAGATAAAAATTACAATGTCCATGATGAAAAATACACTGGATGAAATTAATGTCAGATTAGACATTACAGGATAAAAAATAAACTTGAAAAAGTAACATAAACAATTCTTAATGAAATACAGAGAATAAGAGGATCATCAGTAAACTGTGGGACAACTTTAAGTAGCTTAATATGTAATTAGAATCCCAAAAGCAAAATTTTAAACTTAAATTTCTTTAAAGGATAATTGGCTATTTACACTGAAATGATTTCAACAAAGTGCAGGGAATCAAATATATGCAAAAGTAAATCTATAACAAGACTGGCATAAAGACAGGTGACGAATAAATGAATACATGTATCATTGGAAGATTTCTATAATCCAAGTGAAGTCACTTGAAGGTAGATCGTGTTACAGTAGATGTAAACTGCAAATTATAGAGCAATCATTAAGACAACAAAACAGTGCATTCTAGTTAATGAGTCAACAAAAAATATAAAATCATAAAAATGCTCAATTAATCCACAAAAACAACATAAAAGGAAAAGAGGAACAAAAAAGAGATGGGATTGATGGAAAACAAATAAGATGACAGTCACAAAAGTAACCACATCAGCAATCACATCAAATCAAAGTCATCTAAGAGTACAGATTGTACAATTGAAAAATATTGAATAATATTGAAAGAAACAACTATGTGCTACTTATCAGAATACTATTAAGACTCAGAATGTAAAAAAAATAAAAGGATGGAAAAAGATGTACTACACTAACATGAGTTAAAGGAAAGCTAGAGTAGTTATGTTAATATCAAACAAAATAAATTTCAAGCAGAGAATATCATCTGGGACAATGAAAGTCATATCTTAATGACAAAAGTATTGGTCTATCAAGAAGTCATAACCATCAAATATTTATGTATCTGAAAATGGATCTTCAAAATACCAAGGCAAAAATAGAACTGCAAGGAGAAACAGACAAATCCACGATCATAATCAGAGATTTCAATATCCCTCTTTTAGTAACTGGTTTAACAAGTTGACAAAAACAAAAGACCAGTAAGGATACAGAAGATATGAATGACACCAACAACCAACTTGACTTAACTGATGTTTTCAGAACACTTCATCCAAGAGCAGCAGAACACATGTTCCTTTGGAGTGTGCACTGACTGTGTGTGGGCATGGATCACACACTCTGGGTTGTAAAACAAACATCTGTACATTAAAAGTATTCAAGTCAAACCAAGTATGTTCGCTGACCACAGTGAAACTTCGTTAGAAATCAGTAAGAGAAAGATTTCTGGAAAAGTCCTGAATCGTTTAAAATTAGATAATAGTTTTCTAAGTAACTCATAAGGCAAATAATAAATCAAAAGATAAGGGCAGGCGTGGTGGCTCAAGCCTGTAATCCCAGCACTTTGGGAGGCCGAGGCAGGTGGATCATGAGGTCAAGAGATCGAGACCATCCTGGTCAACATGGTGAAACCCTGTCTCTACTACAAATACAAACAATTAGCTGGGCATGGTGGTGCGTGCCTGTAATCCCAGCTACTCAGGAGGCTGAGGCAGGAGGATTGCCTGAGCCCAGGAGGCGGAGGTTGCGGTGAGCCGAGATCGCGCCATTGCACTCCAGCCTGGGTAACAAGAGCAAAACTCCGTCTCAAAAATAAATAAATAAATAAATAAATAAATAAAAAGATAAAAGATAATTTAGAATTGTTTTAATGGTATCATTGTTTTCTTGCTTGCTACTTTGTTTTTTCCTTTTGACCAAATACTGGTGAAAATGAAGATAAATGAGCCCTTTCTTTTTTTTGGGAGGCGAGTAAATTGTAAAACCCTTTTTGTCTAGTAATTTAGCAACGTACATCAAAAGAGTTAATACTGCTAACATTCCTTGACCCAGAATCTTTTTGTTTAATGAATTTATTTTAAGGAAATTGCTATATATGCATAGAAATTTTGAGAATGTTCAAAAGAAAAAAAATATTTTAAACTGAACAAATATATAACTATATCAAAGTTGGTAGGATGCTTCCAAAGCAGGACTGGGGAGAAAACTGAAAACCAGGATAATTTTTATTCACTCTGAGGACAGAACTACCCTGATACAAAAATTAGACTAAGATAGTACAAGAAAGAAAGCTACTGACTCATATCTCTCAGGAACACAGATTCAATCTTTCTTTTAAAACTCCACCCTAGAGGGTCTAACAATATGTAAGAGGAATCATACAACGTGGTCTAGTGGGGTTTATCTCAGTAACACAGAGCTGATGTGACAGTGAGAAAACAGACTCTGTCATTTACCTTATCTGTACTAAAAAAAGGAAAACTATATGATCATATCTATAGATGACTTAAACATTTGATAAAATTCAATATCCCTTCCTGATGAAAACTGTTATCAAACTCAGAGTAATAAGACATTTTCTTCACCTAAAAAAGGATATCTATGAAATCCTATGGTTAAATAGGAGAATATTTTTGCAAGTAAACTGTGGTAAGTCAAAGATGCATATTATAATTCCCAGATCAAATACTAAAAGAAGGAAAAGGAGGATAAAATAGTCTTTTCAGCAAATAGTTCTAGAAAAATGGCATATGAACATGGAAACATAATGAATCTCTAGCCTTATCTCACTCCATAAACCAGATGTGGGCAAACTATGGCCTTTGGGCCAAATCTGGCCTCCGTCTGTTTCCGTACAGCCCAGAAACTAACAATAATTTTACATTTTTAAATGACTGAAAAAAATTAAAAGTATTTTGTTACATTTAAAAATTAAGATACTCAGCTGGGCGTGGTGGCTCATGCCTGTAATCCCAGCACTTTGGGAGGCCGAGGCGAGTGGATCATGAGGTCAAGAGATCGAGACCATCCTGGTCAACATGGTGAAACCCCCATCTCTACTAAAAATACAAAAAATTAGCTGGGCACTGTGGCGCGTGCCTGTAATCCCAGCTACTCAGGAGGCTGAGGCAGGAGAATTGCCTGAACCCAGGAGGCAGAGGTTGTGGTGAGCCGAGATCGCGCCATTGCACTCCAGCCTGGGTAGCAAGAGCAAAACTCCGTCTCAAAAAAAAAAAAAAAAAAAAATCTAAGATACTCACATTTCAGTAAACATAAATGAAGTTCTCTGGGATCACAGCCACAGTCGTTCACATGTGTATCCTCAATGGTTGCTTTTGCGCTACAGTGACAGAGTTGAGTAGTCGGAACAAACACTGCATGGGGTACAAAACTAAAAAATTTTTTATCTCGCCCTCTACAGAAAAACTGCTGGCCCTTCCCACAAACGATAATTAGTAAGAGACACAAAAAATTCCAGATAATCAAAAAGCTAGAACTTGAAAGTTTCTGGAAGAAAACATAGTGAGCTCTC